ACTGTGAGTGCGTGAAGCTGAGGCATTGTCCCAAAATCCTGGAGATGCTGAGAACGCCCAAGTCCAGTTATAGCAGCTTCAATTCCAAGCTGAAAAGACTAACTTGCGGGTATAGTATGGGTCGTGAACCGAACATCTGCTGCCCCTTGGACGACAGTTGGCTAGCGGACGAGGCAGAATCAAGCAGTTCGCAACCCGGACCCAGTTTCGGAGATCGTAGGAACTCCTTTGGAGACCCGGGCAATCTGAAATACTTGCAAAATGGGCCAAATCAATTTGAATTTTCAAATAGCCGAAATACGGCGAAAAACAACTTCATCACTTCGTTCGAAGATCCAAAGACCATGAAGAACTGCCCACCGGTGATCTCTCAGGAGGATGAATTCAAGCGACCCACGACGAAGGTCTATGTGGCGCCAGCTATTCGTCGGAGAACTACTACCACTCCTTCCCCTCCTCCTCCTCCTCCTCGTCGCACAACTACCACCACAACCACCACGACTACCACTACAAGGGCACCACTAAGATCAGTTTTTGGTGATACCAGGACCGGTGATGAAGTGATCACCATTGAACCGGTGACCAGTTTTCCGGTGGTTGACGCTACGGATCGTCTGGTGGCCACCGTACCGCCACCGATCATCAACGATGCACTGTGTGGATTGTCCGTAAATACTCGGATCATTGGCGGAGAGACGGAAATTCCCGGACAGTTCCCCTGGATGGCACGATTGGCCTACCGAAATCGAAGTATGCTGCCGGATCATGATCGATGATCACTACTAATCAGAGGTCTTTTGTTTCTTTCTTTGCAGCCTCAGGCCGAGTGACTTATCGTTGCGCGGGATCTCTCGTCACCAACCGACATGTGATCACGGTTGCACACTGCGTGACCAACTTGATCGACGAGTTAGAATTGTAAGGATTGCTACTGATCTTTTTGTTCAATGTATCATGTGTTTTTGTTTTTTCTAGACTGAGCGTACGGCTAGGTGATCTTGAGTGTAATTCGGTAACGGACAATCGGTGCAACTCACGCTACCAGGATTTTGCGATCGAGCGCTTGATACCGCACGAGAACTACGACACTCCGAAGTATGCCAACGACATTGCTCTGGTTAAACTGCTGCAAACAACTGAAACCTACAACATCTTGAGTCCGCTTTGTCTACCGATGGATCAGTACTGGAGCTACGGAAGAAACCTAACCGGAAGGATGGGCATCATTGCCGGATGGGGTTCCACCAGCAATCGTAAGTTGGTTCCGAGAGGGCGCGATCAACTAATCATTCTTTCGAAATTACTATTTTTAGGAAACAACTCCCCGAGTCCAACGCTCCAGTGGCTCCGTCTTCCGATCGTGGACACAATGCAGTGCGCCACGTCGTACGCCCGCTACAGTGTCAACTCGCGCAACCCTATCATCGTTTCCGGCAACCAAATGTGCGTCCAAGGCCAGGAGAACATGGACGCCTGCCAGGGTGACTCGGGAGGGCCACTCATGAACGAAGCCATCTCCAGCCGGGACCGGTTCGTCCTGCTCGGTCTAGTCTCGTTTGGGCCTCGTACCTGCGGTGTGTCCAACTTTCCCGGGGTGTACACCCGGATCTCGTCCTACATCGGTTGGATCCAGCGGCAGGTAGAGCTGTAACGTCGCGATCGTTCGCTCTTAGTCTCTAGTGTAGTAACCAAATTGTAAATAGCTCATTTTTCAATTCGAACGAAAGATTATTGCCGCTAGGGTAATCAATTGAAATCAGAAATAAAATCGAAACGTGACTGAAGTAAATGTATGAAAACGATCGTACGGTCCTTGATTTTCGTACACCCACCCCAGACAAGGTCATCGGCAGAGAAGAAAGAGAGTAGTGCCGGTGCGATTTCCTATTTTTGGCGAAACACACAGTTGATCATGACTGTTTCTGTTTCGCGCTACCCGCCGCTAGGTGGCAACACTTTCCGATTAACTTATTCAAAAACATCGAATACAGTCATTGAGTGCACATCATCGATTTATTGCTCGTTATAATTAAAAAATCTCATTTAAACGTTAAGTTTCACTGTTCCAAGTTTTCTTCTATCCAGTCAACATACTTGGCTACATTGGTATACACGCCTGGCCATCCTTGCTGTCCACAGGGAGTTGGTCCGAACGACACCAAACCCACCAGATACCAATACTGAACGTTGGCATTCTGCGACACACCCATCAACGGACCGCCGGAATCACCTTGGCAGGAATCCTTGCCCACTTGTCCTCCAGCGCAAAGCTGCCGATCAAGCAGGGTAACTCGCTCCTGCTGGTACACTGAGTTACATTGTTGTAGATCTATGCCATCAACGCCGACCTTCTGTTTGACGGTACTGTACCGCTCCGTGGCCGTTCTACCCCATCCGGCAACCTGGAACTTCTGTCCGACAGTTTCCTTCACCCTGAGATCCTGCGTCCGGGGTAAGCAGATCGGTTTGACAAAGTCAGTGTATGTAATGCGATGTGCCATCCGGAGCAAAGCAATGTCGTTGTACTGTTCTACGGCTTGAGGATTATAGTCCGGATGGGGTATCTTGCGCTCGATCGGCACGTCGATCGGGTCCGGTGAGCAGTCAGTGTCCACTCCGAGACCTTCGCAATCCTGTGCGGTAGATGTATCCCATTCTCCAAGACGGACTTCAGCGCTACGGAGTCGAAAAAAAAGTCACGATCACAACGATCTTCAACTCACAACGTATGCTATTGACAACTTACAGATTCCAGGTGGTTGGAATATCTTTTCCGTTGACGCAGTGCGATGCGGTGACAACATAACGATCATTGATAAGCGCTCCGCCGCAGTGGAACCCGAATAAATCGTTTGCTAAATTTGAACGATCAAGCAAGAAAAAACCGTTATTTCAAGATGAGTTGTGTCATTTCTGCAGTAGTTGACTTACGTTTAGCATACTTGAGCAACGCCAGCCAAGGAAATTCGTCGATTTTGGTGTTGACACCACCCACGATCCGATCACTGGTTTGAACACCGCAGACTCCAACCGGTGGCAGGAAGGATTCCCCAACACGAATGGGGGTATCCAGCAGATTATCACAGCATACCAACGGATGATTCTCTTCCATGGACCATCCACACTGGCTTTGGCTGAGGAAGATACGATCTTCCTGTAGCAGAGGTTTCTTCTTGATCAGTGTGAACAAGGTATTACACGTTCGCAGCAGAATACAAGTTCCAACTTTCCCATCTGGTGTGGTACAAGTTTGTTCTACAATTCACACAAAAGTAGCGATCAGATTATATAATAATTAAAGCTTTCGGGAGAACCGGTTCTAGTACATTTCCAACGAAACAAGGTTATATTGAAGTTAAGATAACCTTCGACCTTGTTTCATCATCCAGCAGTAGAAAGTCCCGCACCGCAGTACTTACGGCCATCCACCACCGCGATCAGTAGTAGCAAGCCCAAAATGCAGATTCTCTCGATTAGCGTCATTGTTCCATCGGTCTCCCAACAATGCAGTCAGATTTACACCTTCCTATGGTAGAACAACACTCACACACAATTTGCCTTCGCACGCAGCTCGCGATCAAAGAATATTCCTCCGTTTGACTCCACGAACTCGACGCGACTAACACGAACCGGTGTGGGAACGGACCTAGCTGGGCTCGATGATGATCGCGATGATCACATACACACTGGAGAGCCTCGCATATACGTTCAGAGGGAAACCCAGCTCACTATCTAAACAAACAAACAGCATCCGAACTTGGAGAAGTCGAGTAAACGCTGGGTAGAGGTGTATAGGAAATCACAGAACTTGACTCATCTCACACCGTCACCGCGGGGATGATCATCATCATCATCATCTACTTTGTACTGGGTTGCGGGCGATGATCTGAAAATGTTGTATTTACGATCAAGTTCGCGGTGCAAAAACAGGAAAAGAACCATGTAGCGGACGCAGTAGGCACGGACACCTAATTGGCAACCAACTGAGTGGCTTGCTTTGTCGCGGCGGTCAAATAATTAATTCAAATTTCGGTCTTCACCGCTTCCTGCGATGGTATTCTGCTTGATGTTCTGTTATTAGGTGTCTGCTGCTCACCGGTTTTATTTTCCGAATTCTCTTCCTCTACGCGGTGTTTGTGCAACCGGGATTATGGTCAAATGTTGCAGATAACCGGTTTGGTTAACAAATAAATATCATCGGGTTATGGTTAATGATGCGGGCAAACTTTTTGTTTACATTTTTCTATTAAGATAGGATTTTCTGGTTATATTATTGAACTGTATGTATAAACATTTCAAAGTGTTCAAATGATGACCATTATTCGAATTGGAATTTTTACAATCTCTGAATAGATGTAGATGGTGAACCCCTGTTGACTTTTGGCACCCACCCTGTAGCACTGCCAGATGATTAGGTTAAATCGGATTCCTCTAAAATTAAAAAGCATTGAATCAACTTCAACTCAACAGAACAGCAATAGGGGATAGTGGGGTCTCTAAACCACATCTTTTTTACAATCCGTTGGGCAATACACTAGCTCGACAACCTTCTTTAACGCACAGCTCCTGAACAAACTTCTGTCTGGTATGGGTGTCGATTTGCTTTAACTTGCGGCTCACTCTTTCGCATTTCACAAAGGCTAATCACCCTTGATTGTCTTCACGAATCACTGTCGGCTCAGTTTGGGCTTCTCCAAGATTGCTTAGTAGTTTCCTGAGCCAGATAGCTTCCTGATAGGCTTCACTCAAGGCTACATATTTATTGGACTTCCATGGACGCTAGCGTAACGCTTGCTTGCTTTCGACTTGCCCACGAAATAGCAAGAAGAATACGGATTTCGAGGTTGATTGCCGGCTCTATCAGCGTCCGAGTACCCGTTCAACCGTTGACCTGGATTACCACAAACTCTGAGAAAGTAGGTACTGCTATACTTCAGATAGCGGATCACTCTTTTTGCGACAGTCCGATCGCGTTGTGTTGGTTCACAAAATGTTCTACCAAGAACAGCAGCCGTATTGGCTATGTCTGGTCTGGCCACTACTGCAAGATACAAATGACCTCCAACTCCAACAAAATAGACTCCGGTATCGTGTGGCATTTTCCAGAATTTCACCCGTTTCGACGGACTTGAGATATCCAGGATCCATAGGTGAGTTTAGTACTATGGTATCATTCATTCCATGACGAATCTTGACCAAACCTTGCCCCCGCTTTATCTCGGATCCCATGAAGTGAAGTACAGATCCCTGAGACGTCAAATCGAGTTCCGCCTTCAGGCTGTTGAAGAACTTCAAGATTTACTCCCCTTCTGAGGACGATGGAACCAGTAGACCAACAGAAACGCTTGGCAATCACTCCCTCGCACGTAAAGGCAAGGATCAGCCGTTGACGCCTTAAATCTGAGCTTCAAAAGAACAGCTTTAAGTCGCTGATTGTCGAAGACCATAGATGCTTAGTAGATAGAAAGAAGGTTTATGAAGATTTTAAAGATTTCCTGCAAAAAGGTGGAAAGCGATGCTAGTAGATGGATTTAGATTCAAGAGATGAGAAAGTCGACGAAGAGAATCGATCAATGTTACTTAGGACCTAATGCAATGTTTAGCTTGACTCCTTCACGCTGTTAGGTTTAGCCTTGTGCTACTTTCATAGAGGTAACTCTAAGACTAGTAGGTCCCGAAGAAACGTGCTCAACTTTTTGGCTCAGCTCTGGTACGCTACTATTCTGGCTTTACGCTTCACTGGTTCACCTTTTTCGTTTCCGACCTTATGATTTTCCGTCCTTCGGGTGCGTGCACGAGTTCCCAAGTTCCACTGCGCTGATGGGCATGCAACTACTTTTCGATTGCACGACACCACTGGTCATCTGCCATAGCTTCTCTTTAGCTACTGGGTTCTTCGAATGCATAGGATGCCTGCTCAACTGCACAGTCCAATACATAATCCCCGAGGCGTCGTGGAACCACTCCACGAGTTGATCGTCTCGCGCCTTCGTGGTCTTGGTCCTATGCTTCAAGAACTTCGTAGAACTCGTCAAGGCCGGCGCACAATGCATACGTTTTCGGGTTTTTTGACAGATAATGCATGGCCTAACCACCGACAAACCGGCATGAATGACCATAGCAAAAATAATAAAAATTTTGACCAAAGCACACTTATGACATCTGCCTCCGGGTTCGAGGGAAATATTTAGCCAAGCCATTCCTAATAAAAAATAACCATAAGAAAGAGCTTAACGACGTGTTTGGGATCTCATCCAAACCATTTGTGGGATAGTTCTACCATCCGGATTACCGTTCGTTCACAGACAAACAGACGTAACACTTCATTGTGTATCTTCGTTCACGCATTTAACGGTTGATTTGAATATTATCAGTTCCGCGAACTACTCGCTGCAGCGCTGGCATCGTATCACTTTGACGTTTCTATATATTCTATATTATTCGGCGTCGATCAGCATACAGGTGACTGTAGTATATATGATAAGGTAGTAATGAATTAAACATAAATTTACCGCTAATTAGTTTGATGTCGGCAAAATGCATTTGGTAGCATTAGAAGTTGACAAAATGACAGATACACGCAAGAGTGATCGAACATGATTTCGGAAAGCTCCGAATACACGAATGCAGTTCGTGTCATGAACATCGAAGTACGTCTACGAAACGACCAAAGCACAGGACGCGAAGTGAGAGAGATAGGACGTATGATTAAAATTACGCTATGGGATGGAAGAGTGCGGAATGATATGTATGAACCGAGGTATGAACGCATTCATCACGCTCCTTCATGGCTCGATACGTG